CCTTCATCCCTCCCTCATCCCTTCATTCATTTATTCCTCCCTCCTCCCCTTCATCTCTCCCTCATTCATTCATTCTTTCATCACTTCCTCCTCCCCTTCATCCCTTCATCCCTCCCTCCTCCCCTTCATCCCTTCATCCCTCCCTCATCCCTTCATTCTTTCATCACTTCGTCCTGCCCTTCATCCCTTCATCCCTCCCTCATCCCTTCATCCCTCCCTCATCCCTTCATTCTTTCATCACTTCGTCCTGCCCTTCATCCCTTCATCCCTCCCTCATCCCTTCATTCTTTTATTCCTTCCTCTTCCCCTTCATCCCTCCCTCATCCCTTCATTCTTTCATCACTTCGTCCTGCCCTTCATCCCTTCATCCCTCCCTCATCCCTTCATTCTTACATCCCTTCCTCCTCCCCTTCATCCCTTCATCCCATAATTAAGATCTGGTTCTCTGTGGATGAAGTAGTGGAGTGAAAGTTTATTTATATCTCCAAATATTTTTTTGTTATTTTATCTTGTTCAATTTGACAATATCCTTACTAATTCCTATTGCAGTTTCTTTTTCTTTAAATTTGAACCATTCCCATTTATTCAAGAAAGACATTTTGAGAGCCGTTATTTCTTTAACCAAATCTAGACTCTCCCTACAAAACAATTTATTTTCAAGAAGATTGTTGTTAAATTTCCAAATAATATTTGAACTGATTTCTGATCTACATCATTTTATGGACAAAGAAAATGTCACAATGATCAGTCAGAGGTGATGCTGAGGTCATACATTTAGAAATATTATGAATTAAATTGTTAGCGATTAACCAAAAATCTAGTCTTGATTTCAGATTGTTAGCAGAACTAAACCATGTGAACTGGGTTGTGTTGGGATTCTTCCAAGGCCAGCAGTCAATCAAGTTTAAATTTGAGATTAGTTCAGATAAGACTTCATCATATGGGTGATAATGCAGCTATGAAGGAAACCGATCAAGCCAGAGATCTGGAATGARGTTAAAATCACCCCCTATTATGTCTTTGTCTGTCCAATAAGTAATTTTCTGTCTTTCAAACAKCATTTGAAGAGATTTRAACATAGATTTATTCTTTACTTTTTGGTTGAAACCATATAYACATACCAAAATGTAGTTCTCGTTATTAAATTATAATATTATAATTAGCCAATGACCATTTGAATAACTAATGTGGTTAATAATATTACCTGGAAACCTATTAAACAAAATCATAACACCTCAGAATGTGATGTTGAAGAAGACAAGATTCAACTGAGTGGGTTTCCTGCAAGAAAATACAGTTTTTTGCTCCTTGCTTTGAACATAAATTAACTTGGCTTCACTGACCTGACCACCCACTGGACAAAAACAAACAAACAAACAAACAAACAAACAAACAAACAAACAAACAAACAAACAAACAAACAAACAAACAATATTATCAATCATTATATATTTAGCCAAACTGCATATTCACAAATGCTGTTACACTAATCAAAAGCCTCTTCTCTCCATTTTGTAAATGATGTCAAACAATAWGTTAAAACCTTCAGACATTCCATAAATGTGAAATCCATTAAAACTTGTGCTTTATGATCTCTTTCAGGTCTTTGTGCAACATGTTATTCCAAACTATAGTCTCAATKCTAACCCCCTGGCGCATGTTACATTGTATTGTTTTTACATTGTTCTGCATTGTTTCTAACAAGAAAAAAAAAAAAAGCCTATGGCCAGACAACTGTCAACACTTGGAGCCGTAAATAAACATCATTGTCGTAAAGCCTTGGTGTCGTGAATCCTGGCCTCTCACCGAAGATGGCGGCGGAGCTGCATCCGCGGAGCGGAAAGCTGATCGGCCTGTCCAACTCGAACCGAACTGCTCGGCGCAACCAGCCCGTCCAGGAGTTCAACCACGGCCTGGTGCTCAGCAAGGAGCCGCTGAGGGACCGGGATGTCTTCACCGTCCGCATTGACAAGAAGGTAAACAAGTGCAGCAGGGCCCGCCGCTGCTGGGAGCGGAGCTGCAGGGAACGCTGAACCGGGAGGGTCTCTGTCAGCTTCTGCCCGCTGCGAGGGGCTTCTGCTACGCGGGGCGGCTCATACACAGCATGACAGCGACCGCTGCTCGCGGTTCGGCGTCAGTGTGTTCATTATCAGAGCCTCCGCAGGGGCACAGCGACTTGATAAACACCTCCCGGGCTCAGTGCAGATGCGGTAAAGTTAGCGATAACCCGCCCGGTTAGCTTCGGTGCCGACAGTTAGCTGTGCTAAAGACCGGTTAGCATCAGAAACAGGGACCAGACTTTCTGGAAGGCACCGCGGGAGGCTTTGGTTGTGTGTGACAAAGGAGCTGCAGCTTTGGTTACTGAGTGACAGGAGGTCAGTTAGGCGGGTTTAGCTTTGTTTTGAAGCTGACAGGCAGTGGGTCCTGGACCTGGACCTGCTGCAGTGATCCAGTGAGCAGCACTGCTGTCTGTTACCATGCTGTWATTTCGATCCAGAGTTTAGACTGAGCCCAAACTCTCACTGAGGTACTCAGCTTGTTTGACAACAAAAACAGTTTCAGCAGCATGACTCAATACTATACTCATACTATTACTCAGTAATAACTTGTGCMTGTGAAAGCATTGTGTTATTATGACAGAGACTSTTGTTGCTAGTATGAAATTTCATCATCTGATCATAAAAAAGTGTTTGTAGAGTCTTGCAAATTCAGAACATTGCAAAACCTAAAGTTTTTTTTTTTAACAAAATGCCTTAATTGTTTTTGAAGACATCCCTGTACTCATCCAAGAAGCTCCTCTCAGTGTTTGGTCTCACTCCCGTCCCGTCTTGCTGCCTTGCTCAGGGTTGTTAGGCTCTTTGGTCTGGTTCTGCCTGTGACCAAAACTACTCTCATCTAGACCAGGCTAACAGTTCTTATGAACCCTYAAGAGAGAGGGGAGGGAGTGATTTGCGCATGAGTTCATCTTGCACTAAAATGGAGCATCTTGCTACAGTTTAAAGGCTTGGGAGTGCAGCACTTTTTAGTTTGAAGAAGTATCAGTAGGGAAGCATCTGTTTGCATCTCTTAAAGTATTTTTTAAATTAAAATTTGGGGTTTCTGTGCCTTTTTTTTTTTAAAGAAATTGTCCACTTCTTCTAAAGAGAAGTTTAAGATTTATTTAGAAGGTTTTCCTTTTTGCAGGTAACCATGAAAATCTTTAAAAACATATTTATTTAGTGGGGGTTTTTTACACAGCGTTTGAACATTTAGGACAGTAATTGTGTGTTTCAACTCATCAGCCTCTTCTCAACATTAGTATATATTTATACTGTAATTTAGTTGTTTGCTAGTGTTTTTTTAATCGCCTCGTAAGAGCTTCTCTCCACAGAGCTTGTCAACAACACAACAGCTCTGAACTTCTGCCAGAGCCAACCGGGCCACACACACACCCATTAAATGACAGTGTGGGGATCTGAGACGTGTTTCAGGGCAGAGCTGCAGCTCAGCTGGATGTTTGCCCGTAAAGCTAAACATCTGGTTTATTAGCCCCTCCTGGTGCTCCCTGTCTGATAGCGCTCRTATTCAGTCTCACACGATCAGGAAAAATCAATACTTTTCCATCTTGAGGCACGCAGACGTGGCTGTAAATTTTCTCTAGCGTCCACTGAGTTGTAGAGAAAAGAGAGGAAATAAAACACGAGGAGAAAGGAAGTGAGTTACTGGACTTTAAGGATGTTTTTTGAAAAGGGTGGTCTGTGGAGAGGTTGAGAGCAGTTAATGTCTTACCTGTCGTAGATGRTAGGGTTGTGCGGTATTGATCTTTTTCATAGCAACATACTATATTTMGATAATACCGCAGTATAGAGTATTACCGGGGCAGGGTGGAAAGGGGCGGGGCGTGGGGCGTGTACGATCTGTGGTGTGTTGAGGCACCATCTCTCCATCGCCGCCAAACCTCATTCAGCTTTCATATTTTTTTATTTTCTTCTTCCTGTAGATTTTATGGCACTTGTCAAATAWCGTTGRGCCTCGGTCAGAAAGGAGGTCRRGGGATTTAAGTTTATTCGGCTCAAAAGAAGGATGAGACCGATGGCGGGTTGAGCTGTTTTTTTTTTTCATGAGAGTATCTTGTTCCCTCCTGCCTGCCACTACAACACATACAAACAGGACATTCATGTTCAGAAAAAAACTGACACATACTATTTATCATAACTCTGGTTTTATTTAGCCTATCAACACAATTTAAAAACTAGTGTTTAGTTTGAAGCGTCTTGTTTTGACAGAAATTGAAACAAAGTCTCAGAGAAGGCGTATCTRTCCAGCTAGAGTGATTTAAATAGGTTATGTGACTCGACTCCAGAGTCACATGCTGTCATCATTTTAAAGTGTCACCATATTTCAATACAAGGTATATCACAATACTGCCCAAGCCTATTTGTAATAGTTTTTAATAACCAATTTTACTCATTGTTCTTATAAATATGTACTGCAAATTTGARATATTTAGACTTATTTAGACATTATTTACTTTTGTCATGAATCTGATTTGGAAATGACTGCTTGTTTTTTTAGTAACTCGTATCTTGTGATCAGGGGTGTGCCRAAATATTGATTCACAAAAGAATTCCGATTCTCATTTGTAACGATTCAAAAYCCATTAAAAATGTCCCAAAGTTGACTTCAAATACAAACAAAAAAGATGTAAACAAATCTGCTGGCTGTCGGCTTTTGTTTTGGGACGTCCTGACGTCAACACGCAGCCGGTTCTGGAACGTACGCAGAAAGCACCAAAACATATAGCAAACCACAAAAATGTAGGGACGATAGATTCAACTCATTCAATAGATTGAAGCAGAAATCCTGAATCAAATTGTTTTGAATCAAAAATAAATTTTATATAAAATCAAGGCCCCAAAAATCAGAATCRGATGCAGTCGTGGGATAGTAAAAGATTCCCTGGAGCAGGGGTCCCCAAACTTTTTCCTGTAAGGGCCACATAACTTTTCCCTTCTCTGGTGGGGGGGCGGAGTCAGTTTGTAACAGAAAAAGTGTGACTATTGCAGGAGTGCCTAAATGTAAAAATTATTGTTTTCCAGAAAGCACAATCAAATAACCCTCTCCTCTCATCCACCGGCAGAGCAGACACTCTTGGCACTGACTGGCCTTGGTGTGTGTGTGAGTGCAGGGGTTAAAGGGTGAAGTGGGGGGAGGTTCTGTGGTTACTGGGTCAAGTTTGCCGCAGTTCTCATCATTGACTAACGTGACTCAGAAAGACGGACGGATGTTGAGCCGAATGAGTGGATTTGATGTTTTCTGAAAGCCGTATGTGCAAATGTTGTGTACGGCTTTAACTCCAGCCTGATG